GTCGCCCTGGGTCAGCGACAGACAAAGGGCTCCCAGCCTTTGTTCCATTGGCCTGGAGAGCCCCGCTGCGCCCCGGTCACCTTAGCTCCGCGGTCCAGCCCCCCTGACCCTCCTTTCTCCCGGTTAAGGCAAAGGAGAAGAGAGGCTGGACCCTGAACAGCGCCGGCTACCTCCTGGGCCCGCGTAAGTGAGGGACAGCCCTCGGGCGATGGGGTGGTCGGTTAATCCCGCTCCCTGGAACCTGCTAGCCGGTGGTCATTTTACTACATGGATGTCCAGTTTGGGCCACATAAAAGGAGGACATTTACATGACACTGTGAGGGGACTGAGCCCCCCATCAGCTTAGCCAGCTCCTTAGTTCCACGGATACCCTCTCCCACTCCCAGGAAGGCAGCCCAGACCTGAGCTGTTTCCCGGGTACCTCATGACCTCTGGGGCTCACGAGTGCTAAGGCCAGCTTAGGAGAGGCAGCCTGGCAAGCCCTCTGTCAGAGCTCAGGGCCTCGGCTGGGCGGATTGCTGCGAGGACACCTCTGGGTCAGGCCTCTGTAGCTCAGTGCCAGGAACCCTGCCTCCAGGACAGTGAATCAGTCTCCCCTCAACTCGCCCTGCGGAGGCACAGCCCACCTGGTTGTGTACCAGGACCGAGTCCCTCCTGAACAGCCACACCCAGCCCCTCTGCGCCCCCTCCCACTGGCTCAGCTCCAGGGAGCTTCTCTCCTGGACTCCTGTGACAGCATCGGAAGCACTCTTCTTGCCTTCGCAATCCCCCATGTCAGCCCCAACACCCCATCTCCCTCCCTGCCGCCTTCCTCTCTCTGGCGCCACTCATCTCCGCACGCTGCCAGAGAGGTCTTTTGTTGTCCTCATGGAAGGTCCCGGCTGTGCACCAGGCTGTCCTGCGTGGCCGGCTCGTTGCATGCCCCCTTCTTTTGGGTAGTCCCTGTATGAGAGTGGGCAGATGGCCCCTGTCACCAGGCCTCCCTCTTCTGCGTTTCCACACTTTGCCTTACTTTCAATCTGGCTGTCCTTTTGGGGGGAGGGCATGATCGGTGAGCGGTCAGTGCTCTCTCCTCTGCAAGCAGATGCCATCGACACCCACAGATCCCTTAGTGACAAGCACGGCCTGGCTGGGAAGCGGGAGCTCCAGCCCGAGGAGGAAGCAAAGCCAGGTGAGAGGAGCGCCCCCCACGCCCACCCTCCCAGGGGCGCAGAATCTTCTAGGCCCAGCCCCTCCATGGCTCCAGAGAAAGCACAGGGGTGCCCTCTAGCCCTGGGTTGCTCACTGCCCTTGCGGTGCCCAGATCCCTAACAATGGGTGACAGAGGGTACAGGTGACCCTTTCTGTTTTCTAGGAAGCCTTGACAGGTCGCTGCCTGAGAGCAATATAGTGCGCACACTAATTGAGTTTCTGACCTTCTTGCATCTCAAAGGTATGTGAAATATCACAATTTTTTTTAGAGAGAATTTTTAAATATTTTTTAGTTTTAGGTGGACACAACATCTTTATTTTATTTTTATGTGGTGCTGAGGATTGAACCCAGCGCCCCACACATGCCAGGCAAGCATGCTACCGCTTGAGTCACATCCCCAGCCTAGAAATGTCACAATTTTAAAATGCCACTTTTGGCAGGGGGTGTGGCTCGGTGGTGGAGCACCTTCCTGGCATGCGCAAGGCTGCGGGTTCCATCTCCATCTCCAGCCACGCACACACATGCTCTCTCTTAGAGCACCCGACACACAAAGTCGATCAAGAAAGGGCTCCACCCGCCAGGTGTTGTGGTATCCCTGCTACTGGGAGCTGAGGCAGAGAATCACTTGAACCCAGGAGCTTGAAGTCAGCCTGGGCAACACAGGGAGACCATTTTAAAAGAAAAAGGAGGGCTGGGTTGTAGCTCCGTTGGTAGAGTACCTGCCTAGCATTCACAAGGCCCGGGGTTCAGCCCCAGCACCACCAAAAAAAAAAAAAAAAAAAAAGGAAAACAAACCCAGGAAAACTAAAAGGAAAAAGAGAAAGGGTCTCGTACATTTATGCAAAGTCCTTTCCTGGTGTGTATTAGGGTTACAGGGACAAGACACTGATGCTAGGACTGCAGCACAGTCACAACACTGCCCCTCAAAGCGTCACCAGACCAACATTGCTACCTGGAAGAGAGGGGCCTTTGGGTTTAGTTTGCTCCACTGGATCCATCATAGTCTTTGACATGGTGACAATTGACCTGTCCTTGGAGCAAAAGCAAGCCTCAAGCCAGGTGCTCTAGAGGCCGTCTAGGGTCATATTCAGATCTCAGAGAAAAGGCTCTTGACCCTGCCTGGCCTTAATGGGACAGTCACCGGTCAGAACACACTGCAGTGGTGGGAGGAGCCCAGGAAGAGGCCCCAGGCTCTGAGCACTAACACAGGGAGGCCAGCGTGGGACCTGGTGGGGGACGTTTGGTGGCTGACTTCTGCAGTTGTTCTGCTGTGGATGCAGTGTGGGGGCTCTCTCTGCGCCCTGTTTGGCTGAAGGACTTCCGGCAGGCCTGGGGAGAGGGGGAAGTTGGGGCTGGGGGATTTAGGCTGCTGCTCATTCCCTAGCACCATCCAGGCACAGGGAGGGTGCGGAGGAGGACTCAGTGGTGTGTGGTGTTTGCAGGCTCCAAGCCATCAGCCAGCTCCGCTGTAGGGCCCAGGGGACTTGGGGAGCAGGCGGGGTCTGCATGTCGTTGTTCTGGTTTGTTTTGCTTTTAATTTTGTAACCTGGAAAGTCCTTTGTTAGGAGACATCGATTTCCATTACCCGATAGGAATTATACTTCTTTATAGCCTGAATTAAGAGCCGGACAGTTTCAGATGCATTCTGAGCATGGGCGTAAGAGTGGGAGACAGAGGGCTTCCTGCCCTGCCTGCTGTGTGCCAAGGCCGGTTCTCTCTTGCCTGCTGCCTGAACGTGTTTCTTCCCTTTCCAGAGGCCGGAGCCCTCCACAGCCTGGCCGGCCTCCCACCGGAGGTCTCCTCAGAAGACACAGAGCAGTCCTGAGGTGCCGTCACCCTCGAAAATGAGGAAACTCTGCCCTTTTGTGCAGAGTGACCCACTCTGTGCTCCGCTTCTGTGCTGTGCTGCTATCATTTAAGATGATTTGGTTTAGGTAATTGTTCTGAGCGACAAAATAAAAAATAGCAACTGCACTCGTCTGGTTCTTGCGGGCTTTGGTCTCTGTTTTATCCACACTGCGCAGCAGATACAACCCCAGAGCCCAGACACCGCGTGGAGACATCTCTGCGTCACCCCCTAGGACTGAGTCAGATGTGGTGACGGAGGCAAGTCTGTTACTGAGGTGAACAAAACACAAGCCCACAAACCCCGTCCTGAAGAGCTGCTATTTAGGGACAGGCCAGGTTGGACGAGGGTGACAGGTGGCTGTCAGTGCCGTGTGGTGACAGCAGGCCAGCGGGGTGAGGGGTGTCAGCTCTGCCCCTGCCTGGCTCAGTGTCATGTGGGAGAGACCCTGCGTGGGAGAGTGTGTGGGAGGCGGGATGGGGCCTCTGGGCAGAGCTGGAGCCTGTCACAAGGTCCTGGAAGAAAACAGGCCCAGAGGAAGGGCCAGGAACCCTCGGAGGACCAACGTGCAGGCTGGGGGGCTGGGAGGGGCCTTTCCCTAGACGCAGGCCCTAGTAGCCCTGTGGGTGGGAGGGGACTGAGGAGCCCCAGGGCCTGGTGGCTCACCAACGCTGCATTCATCCTGGGGACTCCCCCACGTGATGGCCTTGGGCGGCCACATGAGAGGGTGGACCCTACCTGGACCTGCGTGGAGGGTGGAGGGCGGCGAAGCATGCGGCTGTGGGCTCGGGAGCGAGCCTGTGGACTCCAGACCTGTCCTTGCCCTCCCCCTCCCTGTCCCCCCCGTCCCGCCCCCCCTCATCCCATCCCAGCTGCTCCCCACCCCCACTTGCTCTGTGCTCCAGGACCTCATCCACCCTTGGACCTCCAGGCTCCTGCACTTCAACCAGGTGTCCACTCCCAACACCCAGGCCTGGACAGGGACGTGGGGCCTCATTTCTCCTCCTTCACATTTCATTCTCTCCAACTTGAGCAGCTACTGGGGACACCTGCCCCTGCTGCCCTGCTGGTCTAGGACAGCATGGGCTGGCCCTCTCAGCACCGAGCTGCAGCCTGTGCTGTCTGGTGTCTTGCCACGCCCATGCAGGGGCCTGTCACCCCAGAGCTGCCCCCAGCCTCCTGGCTCAGCCCTCAGGCCAGGACCCACTGCAGCTGCTATCCCGCCTCACCTGCTGGAGGCCAGTGTCCACGGCCCTCGATGCCTGGCCAACTCCTTGAGGACCCAGGATTCTGAGCCAGAGTCCCCTTGTTAAGGACACCCTTCCTGCTCCAGGTCCCCAGTAGGTGTCACCCACCTCTGTCGGCTGCTTGCTGCCTCACCACATTGGCTCCCTGGGGAGTCAGCCACTGGCACGACGGTGCCCAGCCTGGGTTCCTGCACAGCCCTGCTCCTGCCAGCCCCAGCCGCAGGCCTCTGGCAGATGGTGGGTGGTGGACTGGTAGTGCCCACTGTCCAGAGGCCTCCCTCTCCCCTTCCAGACTCTTCCTTCCTTTTAGGAATCAGAAGGAGGGAGCCAAGGGGAGGGGGGCCAGGATTGGTGGGGGTGTGGTGGCAAAGAGCTGGGTGAGGTGACAGTTCTCAAAGGAGCCACAGAGGTGACTTCTTGACTTCTGGGGAAAACACCCGAGAGCCAGCTGCAGCCCTTGGGACAGTCCCCTGAGCTGAACTCTGTTTCTGCACCTCAGACCCAACCAACGCACACTGAACATAGTTTAAAAAATTAAAAATGCAAATGAAAGCTACACTCCACCAACAACTGTTGACAAAGCTGCATCTTGTGCTAGGAGTGACCTAGGGGCCGAGGTGCAGGTGTGTGTAATCACCTCGCTGCTTTACACTGGGGCCGTGGGGCGGGGAGGCTCCTGGCGCCTGCGTCTGCCTCCACCCAGGGCTCCCTGCCAGAGCCCCAATCCCAAGAGGCCCAGGGGGCTTAAAGGAGGCGGCCCGGGTCAGAACCAGGCTCTGCTCCAGGCTCACTGATGCGCCTGCGCTGGCCCCGCCACCCGCCTCCTCCACTGCCACTATGTGTCCTAGCATTCAAAGTGACCAAGGCGGCTAAAGAACGCCGAAAAGGAAAGAACCCGACTTCACTATGTCTCAGGTAGACTATTTTTTAGATGCATATATTTTCAACTACTAAGTTAAATATGACAATTGAAGACTTTGGAAATTTTTATTAATCTTTACGTTTATAATAGAACCCAAAGAGTCAATATAATAACCAATCTTATGTGCTGGCTTCTGCAAACTAATTACTCTAGCCGTGTTTTACCTTTAATAACAACAATAATTCTGGAGAAGTTAATTGGATAATAGAGCTTTTCCTCAATTCAAGTAGAAATGTATGAGAAACTAAATACAATTTGAAGTCCTGCGACTCAGCCCTCCTGCTGCTAGCCTGGCCTGGTGGCCTGGAAGGCTGGTGACCCTGTGAGTCTTGGGGGACCTCCACACTGCAGATGTGCTCCGAGGTGCTCAGCGGCTCCTCAGAAACCGTGTGTCACACCCTAACAGCTCTCTGGAGAATCTAAGTCATTTGAAAAACAAAACACACAAACAAAAACCAAAACCACCCTGGTTTTTCCTGCAGGGCAGCCCATCCCTGGAGAGAAGACTCCTGTGCCTTGCCTTCCTCAAACAAGGCGCCCTGCTGAGCACCTCGGGCAACTCTCCAGGCCTGGTGCACACCAGAGCTCCGTGAGGTTTTATTTTATCTATTTTTTGGTATCAGGGATGCTCTACCACTAAGCTACATTCCCAGCCCTTTTTATTTTTTATTTCATACTGAGACAGGGTCTCTCCAAGTTGCCGAGGCTGGCTTGAACCTGTGATCCTCCTGCCTCAGCCTCCCAAGCTGCTGGGATGACAGGCGTGCGCCAAGGCGCCCAGCTAAGAGCTCGGCCTTGTTAGGGTCGTGTGGCCGCAGGCTGGCCTCTTGCTCCTCCAACCACCTTTCTGAACCAGAGCTTCCGCAGAATGCCGAGGTACGCGTCTGCATGCACTCAGGGTTGGCTATACTACATGGTACTTGACTCGATTTTCAACCCCTTGGACTTAAATTCGATGCGGAGAATCTGTGACAAACATCTTCCAAATTCCTCCAGGATCATCTGCTCCGCCAGGCACTCGGAGCAGTGCTCCTTCTCCGCCTCCTCGCCCTGAGCCAGTAGGCAGGCACAGGTGGCCTCCACCACCTCCCAGGAGATGCAGGAAGAGAGCCGCCTGCAGGAGGAGGGCAGGGGCTGTCTGAGCTCTTTCCTGCTCTGCAGAATGTGGCTCGCCATGCCAGCCTGAAGTCCATGCTGCCTCTGGCCAACGCACAGGGCGAGTTGGGAGGAGCAACTCCGGCAGGCCAATCTGCCTCACTCCCACACCCGCTCCTGACAGAGTCCGTATTTTTTCAGAATTTGGTCCACCACCCAACCCAGGGGCTCTTGAGCTTCGCTGTGGGACATGAGGGCTGGGCAGGGCTTGGGGACACGGGACTCTCAGAACAAGGACCCCAGGCAGCCGGATCAGTGTAAGGAAGGTGGCTCCACCGATGCCCAGCACGGTGCCTGCCCTCCTCCCCATAGGCTACCAGGAGCTACAGGATGCATGTGGCTCTGAGGACATGCCACGCCACGCCCACTGTGGCCTCACCCTCCACACCCTGTGAGACTTGGAGTCACTTTCCTCTGAAAGCCTCCATGCTGGGCTTTGGAAACAGCCAGCTGCTCGGGAGGGGGCTGCTGGATCAGAGCAGCTCTGCACCTCGCCTCTACTGTCCCCACCTCTGCTGTCCCCACCTCTGCTGTCCCCACCTCTGCTGTCCCCACCTCTGCTGTCCAGGCGCATGGCCAGGGGAGATGGTGGCCCTGCTGGTGGCCCTGGCCAGGCCTTTTGCCTTGTGCAGAACAGGGCACCTCCAAGGAGGACAAGCAGGACAAGCAGTTTTGGCAGCAGGGCCTCCAAGGAAACCTAGTGGGCCTCTAGTGTGGGCGCCTCCCTTCCTCCCGCCCCAGGCCTGCCCTGCGGACAGACACCTGCTCACCTCCCTAGGTTTCTGCTGTCCTCCCAACTAACCTCACCACCCTGTGGGTTCGGGGTACCCACCTGTCTTTTCTGAACCTCGGTAGTCCTGAAAATTTAGTTGGTGACAAATGATGGCTGCCTTCAAGATCCGCCATCTCCACGTAGCTTGGCAGGTTCGTCAGCGTCTTCCGCTCTGGGCTCTCCTCGTAGTTTTTGCAACCGATGCATTTGCAAATAGAAGAGCACATAATCTTGGCCTGGAACATAAAATGCTTCAATAAAATTAGGTTGTCCTATAAGTTATCAAAAACTGACGAATTCTGTTTGGACTTTAAATAATTCTTTGCTTATATTTGATCATGTACAATCCACAATTTTCATACCAAAAACCCAGCAGATGCCAAGAGAAGTGAGCGCTGTGGTGCTGTGCCCGGCGACACCGAGGTGCAGCCGCCGTGGGGGCTCACCCTCCTTTCTGCACTGCAGCCCGGCAGGGCTCCATCTGACTTTTCCAGGGCCTTCACTAAGTTAGCCAGACTGGCCTCACACTCGCAATCCTCCTGCCTCAGCCTCCTGAGACTACACACTGGGACTATAGGTGTGACCTCGAGCCCAGCTCTCCACCTGACTCTTGCTTTGCACAAAGCCTGGTCTGGCTGGTCGGTGACACCCCAGCTCCACAGCCTCCCCTTCACACGGAAGGCATGAGGCAGGCCCTGCTCCTGTGCAGAGGTGAGTGAGGGGTGAGAAAGCCACCGGGGCAGGTCTGAGGTCAGGGGAGACCCGTCCTGCTTGCTGCTGGGTGCACCCCGAGTCTGGTCCTTCCTGGTGGTGTGAGGCTCAGGAGGGTGTCCTCCAGGTCCACCTCCCTGCCCATGCAGCCTTAGGCCGAGCTGGCCCCATGGCTTTTAGCCTCCTCTGCTGCAGCCCTGACCTCCCTCTGCTCCTGCTGCTCAGAGCTGCAGCAGGCACCTGTGCCGCCTCCCCCACCTCTGGGCACGGTGTGCAGGACGTTGGGGCATCAAGGCTGCACTAGGCAGACACTGAAGGACGGTGCCTTCCCTGCCTCTTTGCTGCATGGCCTGTGGGCAGCTCTCTGGCATGGCCTCAGCCTATGGAGAGTGGTCTGGGTCAATGGAGGGAAGGTGGTGGGCAGTGAGGGCACTTGGCTGGGAGGAGTCCCCGGATGGCGCCACTCCATGTCTGCAGCGTCTGACAGGTTCTCAGAATCCTAGCTGGGGACTGCCAGGTCTGCCCACTTGGATCTTTCAGCGTTTTCCAGAATTAGGAGTGTTCTTGAGCGTGGGCCTGGGCCTCACTCTGTCGGCCGGCCGTCCAGTCCTGGTCTCTGAGGGAACCAAGAGCCAGGGAGAGCCAGCTCTGACGGCGCGCCTAACCAGTGGAAGCCGGGGACCCCCGAGGCCCCACAGGAGCACCCTGGCCCCCGCTGTGCTCAGGGGGAGGCACAGCCTCCCGAGGACCCACCAAGTGCCAGTCCCTGGGTGCTCCAGCGCGTGGAGCAGCTGGCACAGAGGACAAAGCCCAAGGCGGGCGTGGGGCGGACACAGCCCAGGGGCACCCGGGTGAATGCAGAGCGAGGCCCCCAGAGGGCCCAGGAAGGAAATTACGGGAGTTTTTTCAGATGAGCCTCGTGTTCCTCACCGGGGACAGGGACCCCGGCCGCGCACCTCGTAGCACTCGCAGTAGTTCTTCAGGCAGCCCGACCGCTTGCAGTTGCAGCCCTTGGTGTGCCGCGGCTTCACATCCCCCAGCTTTCCTTTCCCGATTTTTGGTTGGAACGCTTCAGGATTTCTGTCCAGACAAGCCTACGACAGAAACAACAGAAGCGGAGACGCCGTCAGGAGAGCCTCCGCTGGGCGCCCGCACTGACCCCGCTGCAGCAGCCGGCTGGGGTCTGGCTGGGCGCATCTCCCTCTGTGAGGGCTTCAGGCTCCCGCTGCCCTGAGATACTCATGCAAGTCTTGGGTGGACATTTACACACATTTCCCTGAAGGAAACGGCTAGGCCAGGCCATGCCATACAGATGGTCAGCTCCACCAGATACTGCCCAGCAATTTCCCAAGTGGCTGCACCAATCCACATTCCTATCAGCAATGCCTGAGAAATCCAAGGTTCAAAGTGAATTCTTTACATTTTAATTGTAGATGGTGTCCTTTATCTCTAAATTACACGTGGCCACCCTGAGGCTGACAAGTGTCTTTGTTATCTTCTGTCCATCAGACCTGGCTGATCGCAATCAGGAAGGTATTTCTAGGTGGTTTATTCATAGCTCAAAGAGGGGAGCTAAGTTATTTTGAGGAGTGCCATTTTGTTCCACTGGCTCATGGTGGTCTCCAGGCCACAGCGGCTGGACCTCAATTTCCCCAGGAAGTGGCTCCTAGAGCTGGTGTCCTTCCTGTCCCCCTGATTACCTGAGTCTGTAGATGGGGATAAACACCAGGCCACCGTCTGCAGCGGGGGTTTGGGCCCCAGGAGGTCACATGTGCCCTTCAGAGGGCATTAAACTTACAAACGGGCGCGGGCCCAGGGTGCTCCTCAGCCCTGTCCCTGGAGGACCCTCCACTCCCCTGCACCTGCACTGTTTCTATGCAAGCTTGCCTGCCCCACAGCATGAGCCAGTGTCAGAGCCCCAAACCAGGACCAGGGCACAGGTACCCTCCTGCAGAGGAGACCCACACTGGGTTTCCCAATCCTGAGATTAGGAATCTCTGCAGATCATTTTGGGAATGTCTCAAACACGTTTTTTAAGATGCCTTACCTTAATGGCTTTAAAGCGTTCAATTTCATGTCGCAAATTGTTGCAACAGTTGTTACAATTGCAATTGTTACAAAAGTCCCCGCTGGCGAAGCAGTCGCAGTACCTGTGAAGAAAACTGCAGTGTGAGTCCGGCAGTGTGAGTCCGTGCACAGGTGCACCCTGGTGAGAAGCAGTGCATGGGTGCAGGCTGTGGCCAGGCTCTGACCTGGGGGATGCCAACGCCTTTTTACAGAAACTAGATTGGCTGGGGTGATGCTCTGCCAGGTCTAACACAGGAGAAACGAGTTAAAGCCATTAGTATCACAGCGCAGGATTTTGCAAGGCAAGAGGGCTCCAGGAAGGTGCATGTTGTCAATCATTTCTGGCCCCCAATTCCCTCTGTCGCCTTCCCAGGAGCACAGGGAGTTGGGGAGGAGAAACACCAACTAACACAGAGCCGTCTGGCCACCAGTCCTCCGGGTCCATCTGCAGGCTGCAGGCGGGGGTGAGAGTCCACAGGAGGAGCCTGAGCTGGGCTCCGTCCCCTTCATTCCACATCCATAACCAGGAACTGCAGACGGGAAGCGCAGCGGGAGGAGGGGCGGGTGGCTGCCTGTGGTGGCACATCTTCAGGTTCTGTGCTGGGGCTGGAGAGTGGATCCAACCAGCATGGAGACCAGGACCCTGCAGCCCTGCGCACAGCTGCACCCTCGAGAGGAGTGGGCCAGCTCGTCAGCCACTCTCGGCTTCAGCGAGACCAGCGAAGGGGGGCAGGACTCCTCCAGAAGCACTTCAGCTCAGGTTTCCCATCAGCTCTGCCCCCAGCTCCTCAGCTACCTGATCTGGGCCATTGTCTGTGGGCCTCGAGCTGTGGAATGGAGACCAAGGAGCCTTGCCTCAGGGCTGCGGCAGATCAGCATGGACTGCACAGGCGCCCAGCAGTGGGTGGACCAGCTGTCACAGCATCCCTGCGGCGGGATTCCCAGGCACCGTGCTTTTATGTGTATTATTTTCATATTGTTAAACTATTTTTAAATGCATGTGAACCCAGCAGGAGAGTTAAGGAGAACCCTTGAGGCCAAGAAGACAAGGACTGTGACTCTAGTGAGCTCTGTAGTGCCTTGGGCTGTCCTGGGGCACCTGCATTCTCGGCTGGCCACGGCCTGGGCATGCAGGAGAGAGAAGACAAAGGCTGGGATACAAAAGGCCCAACTTAGGCCAGAGGATCCCATGGAAACCGAGTCCTGGGAGGGTGGCCTCCCCCCGGGGGGGGGGGTGACTTAGAAACAAACTTGCTGCACAAAAGGCCCATGGGAATGGTCCCTCCTGGGGACAAGGGACACAGAGCCTCTCTGCGGCCAAGAGCACAGGTAGGTGTTTCAGGAAGACAGAGAGAAGGGAGGGAGGTGGAAAGCAGAGGCAGCAGGAAACAGCTGAGCAGCAGCCTCAGGAGCCCTGGAGGGGACGGGGGAGGTGATTGGGCTCAGTGGAGCGTGGGCTGAACTGCCCTGAGCCCCCAGAGCCCTCCTGTCCCCACCCCCTTGCTCTTGGGGGTAAAGCCAGGAGGCGGGGTGCTGTGGGGCACCGAGGAAGAAACCGACATTGGGCCGCTTCCTTTTCCCTCCCAGGCGTCCAGCCCTGGAGGACTCTGCCCAGCCCCAGGGGAAACGCCCAGGCAGGCTGACACTGAGGCTCCCAAGAAGTCATCCCAAGCAACACTGTGAGCCCCGCCAGGCCCCAGGGCTCTCACCATGAGCAGAGGGACCCAGACATCACATACTGTGAGGACAGACAGGCCACGGAAGCAGAGACAGGAGACTGGGAGGGAGGGGCATCCATGGCCTTGAATTCATTAAACAAGCAAATGATCTTAAGCGGAATGGTGTATTTTTAAAATCTAGAAAGTAAAGAGCAGTCATGGAGACGCACAGCTCCACGGAAGGTGTGGAAACCAGGACTGAAGAAGGAGGAAACAGCAGTAAGGGAAAGGAGGCGGGGACAGGCCAGAAGCCCAAGGCTCATCAGACAGGATTCCAGAAACCCAGAGCGGGGAGCGGGAAGGGGGGCTAGCGGGCAGGAGTGGAGAGGAAGGGAGCCTGCCAGGCCTAGGCTCTGCACAACAGACGCAGACGGGTGCAGTGCCGAGAGGTTCCCTGCACCCAGAACATAGAGGCCTGTGCAGCTCCAGACAGAGTGAGGCTGGCGGCCTCGCAGGAGGCTCAGACAGAGGAGGCAGGCCCAGCAGGCGTGGCCAGGCCTCCAAGAGGCTGGGGAAAGGCCCCAACTGACCACCTGCTCCCTGCCCAGCCATCTTCTAAGCATGGAGACAGACTGGGACGGTGTCAGATGCCGGAGGCCTGAGGAATGGCCACCCACACCCAACAAGGCCGGGACCCAGGAGGGAGACACGGGACCCAGGAGGGAGACACAGGACCCAGGAGCCAGGAAGCCGAACATGGGGAGGGACCTCCTGGTGTGGCAAAAGACGTTGGGGGGTGTACCTGTGCCCTGGACCTGGTTTGGGGCTCTGACACTGGCTCATGCTGTGGGGCAGGCAAGCTTGCATAGACACAGTGCAGGTGCAGGGGAGTGGAGGGTCCTCCAGGGAGAGGGCTGTTCCCCCACTTGCTCTTGATCCTATGACCTCGAGCACCCCTCTGCTACATGGACTCCCACATGGGGCACCAGCTACCTCCAGGGAGCTGCAGCTGGAGGAGGCGGCTGTGGCCAAGGGCGAGGAGACTCCGTGCTGAGCTCGCAGAGACCATGTGCTGCGAAGCGCCAGCTCCATGGAGGAGGCAGAGAAGTGCAGGAAGGACATGGGCCAAGTCCCAGCGGGACCCAGGGCCTCGCCACATGGAATACTCCCTCCTGCTCACAGGTGCACCCTGGCCTGGCGCAGCCTGTGTTTGGGAGGTTTGTGTGGGAGTG